CATTCCTGGGGCCATTCTTGTGAACCTCCTGAGCCCACTCCAGGGCCAGTACATCCTTCCTGAGAAATGGGGCCTAAAACTGTGCACAATACTCCAAATGTGGCCTGACCAGAGCCTTATAGAGCCTCAGGAGCACATCCCTGCTTTTGTATTCAAGTCCTCTCAAACTAAACGCCAAAGTTACACTTTCCGTCCTCACTACTGACTCAACCTGCGACTCTACCTTGACAGAATCCTGAACTGAAACTGCCAAGTCTCTTTGCACTTCAGACTTCTGAATTTTCCCCCCATTTAGAACATAGTCCATTCTTCTATTCTTCTTGGCAAAGTGCAACACCTCACACTTTCCCACGTTGTACTCCATCTGCCACTTCTTTGCCCACTCTCCTAACCTGTCCAAATCCTTCTGCAGCCTCCCTGCATCCTCAATATACCTGTCTCTCTACCTATCTTTGTACAATCAGCAAACTTAGCCAAAATGCCCTCAATTCTTTCATGTAGATCATTAATGTACAAAGTGAAATGTTGTGGTCCCAACACTGACCCTTGCAGAACACCACTAGTCCCTGGCTGCCATCCTGACAAAGATCCTTTTATCCCTACTCTCTGCTTTCTGCCAGACAGTCAATCTTCTATCCATGCTAGTACCTTGCCTCCAACACCATGGGCCCTTATCTTACTCAGCAGCCTCCTGTGTGGCACCTTGTCAAAGGCCTTCTTGAAGTCCAGGTAGGTAACATCCATTGGTCTCCTTGGTCTAACCTCAAAAAATTCTAACAGATTTGTCAGGCATGACATCCCCTTGATGAAGCCATACTGACTTTGCCCTATTTTACCATGCAGTTCCAAATATTCAGAAATCTCATCCTTTACAATAGACTCCAAAATCTTACCCACAACTGAGGTTAGGTTAATCCGCCTAGAAGTTCCAAAAGTGGAAGCAGATCTTTGCGACACGTCAATACTGTTGGGATCAGAAGACCAGCTCAGGACCAGGAAGGTCACCGAGATGGCAAACAGTCAGTGCAGGCATGATGGGCCAGAAGACCTTTTGCTGCACTGTGCAACAATTCAGTGACAGTCTGAGTCAACATGAGGCAATGGTCAGGAAGGGGATGGTATCAGTGGCATAGGCACAGAATGAAAGGAACAACTGCTTTGGTCTTCCTGAGGCTTAAATGGTGGAAATTGTAGCTCACCTAGGACTGGATGTCAGAGGAGCAGTCTGACAACATAGGGCCACTCTAGGGACCATAGAAGAGCAGAATGTCACCACAATACAAGTGGAAATTATGCAATACCATTGAAAATAAATTGAGAACAAAAATTCAATTTCACAATATGTAGTGCATCACTTAACTAGGTTAAACCACATTTTGGAAGCACATTGGTAAAGGAAAAGCATGATCCAATTTTACATGCCAACTTTATCTCCGTAGGGATAGATCTCAATCCTGCACATTCCAAAGGCAGCTGTCTCTTTAAAGAGATAATGCTAACTACAGTTGAACCAACTTATATTTACGGTCAGCTTTCGGTAGCTTGACATAAAAAAACTCCTCTAAACATTAATGAACTAATTTCCATTCAATAAGTTGCCTTAAGAATACCAGTACTTTTATGAACAAAAATCAATAATCAAAATAAAAATGAAACAAAAAAGGTAAAGCTGCTTAAAAATAATAAAGATTTCAAAGCATAGCCTTGGCCAAGAATAAAACTTAAATAAAATATGTTCATTAAAATACATTTGGTTCAGCTTCTTAAGTAAACACAGTAGCTGTCATCATGATTGACAAGAAGGCAGGCTCCATAATTAGTTGTGGTTTAATTCTTTCTCATGAGTTTGAAAGCAAGCAGACTCTTATCCAAAAATGCAGGCACTCCCAGTTGAGACTCTAGCCCAGAGATTGCTTTATATTTGACTGGTGCTACAAATACTGCATGGTCTTTTTTGGCAACATCTGAATTGTTGAATGTCTTAGCAGCTAAACTATTATGAGCTTCACAGCTGCTGCCAAGTGTTTCATTCCACATTAGGATAGTAGTCGAAAATACAGCCACATCTGGTACAAAGCTTCACAAACGAATTCTGACCTTTAAAGTGCCCCAGGGTTAAAGTTTACCTGGACTTCTAGTGAAGTCATGATCTGGCCAGCTGCCCAATTAAGAGGCTCTGGGCCCCAGCATCAATATCTGCAAATGTATTATCCCAAAGAACTAGAATAGGGTGGAAACAAAGACAACACCCACAGTTTCTCAATCCAGTGTTTCCAAAAGGGGTCTCTAGCCCAATGGGAAATTTCCTTTTAACAAAGGAAAAATTGCAATGTCAAATTGCAATTTACTTTTCTCCTATTTCCCAAAATTCCCAACCAATGGGTCCATGCAGAGGCTGACTTTAAATGCCCAAAGGTCATCCTATCTCCAGAGACAGGGATATAGAAGAAATAGCGGTATGCTAATTTAATATTGTACTCAGTCACTGGTGCACCACCTAAAATTATTACTCACCAACAGGAAACTGGCTGGTTTCAAACGAAGTAACACTCACACTTCTTCCACCTCCACCTCCCCCTCAAAGTTCTTGTGGTGCAGTGGTACTATCCCTAGCTCTGACCTAGGAGGCCTAGGTTCAGGCCCCACCTGCTCCAGGGGTGTTTAATAACATCTCAGGACAGGGTTATTAGAAATTACCACACCTCCTTCTTTACACACTGCCCCAGTATCTTCGCCCCGCATTCCTCCCACCCATACCTCCAGCTTAAAAACCTGAACCAGTTCCTGTAGCAGCGCTTTACCTGCACTTCACACAATCTAATTTACTGCATTCGCTGCTCACAATGTGGTCTCCTCTATATTAGAGAAATGAAACGTAGATTGTGTGTGCACTTCGCAAAACACCCACATTCTGCTTGCAAAAAAGACCCTGAGCTTCCTGTTGCCTGTCATTTCGACACAGCATCCTGTTTCCCTGGCCAACATCTCTGTCTCAGGCTTGCTGCAGTCCTCCAGTGAAGCTCAGTGTAAGCTGGAAGAACAGCACTGCATTTTCCCCTTGGGGACCCTTCAGCATCGAATTCAATATCGAATTCAATAATTTTAGGACTTGAGTCCTCCATGTCCTTATCCCAACCCCCATACAGCAGGCCTTATCATCATATTACACACAACCCATTGTTAGCCACTAACAGTCCCCATTAATAGATATTCACCCTCCGAGCCGGATCTTTATCCACTGCTTTGTCTGTCCAACTGCTTTTTCTCGCTCTTTGGGCTCTATCTCTACTTATTGTTTACTCCTTACCCATCTCCCTCCCAACCCCACCCCAACCATATCTTCTGCATATAAACTGACATTTTCCTAGATACCATCAATTCTGAGGAAGGGTCACTCGATCCGAGATGTTAACTCTGGTTTCTCTCCACAGATGCTGCCAGATCTGCTGAACTTTTCCAGCAATTTCTGTTTTTGCTTCTGAATCAGTTCCGTTCACACTAACTTACTGCAATGTTGCTTCGAAAGAACAGAACACAACAGAATAAAAACCGAAAGAACTGTGGATGCTGTAAGTCAGGAACAAAAACAAAGACATCAGACGCCATTTCCACCACCTCCAGCGAGATGCCACCACCAGACACATATTCCCCTCCCCTCCCTTGTCCGCTTTCCACAGGGACTGTTCCCTCTGGGACACCCTGGTCCACACTTCCTTCACCCCCTAAACCTCCCCACAGCCCTACAGCACCTTCCCCTGTAACCAGCGAAAGTGCAACACCTGCCCATTTACCTCCTCCCTCCCCAGTATCCAAGGGCCCAAACATACCTTCCACGTGAAGCAAAACTTCACCTGCACTTCCTAGAATCTAGTCTACTGCATTCGCTGCTCACAATGTGGTCTCCTCTATGTTGGGGAAACGAAGCGTAGACTTGGCGAATGCTTTGCAGAACATCGACGTTCTGCTCGCAAAAAAGACCCTGAACTACTTGTTGCCTGCCACTTCAACGCACCACCCTGCTCCCTGGCCAACATCTCTGTCTCTGGCTTGCTGCAGTGTTCCAGCGAAGCCCAACACAAGCTGGAGGAACAACACCTCATTTTCCACTTGGGGACCCTACAGCCTTCCAGACTCAATATTGAGTTCAATAATTTTAGGGCCTAAACTCTCCTATGTCCCAGCCCCCTACTCCACACACTAGGCCTTGTTACCACATAGCCTGCCATTACACACCCCCTGTTGTTAGTCACTAACAGTCCCCATTAATAATTATTCACCCTCCCAGCCTGATCGTTAGCAACTCCTTTGTCTGTCCAACTGTCTTTCTCTCTCTTTGGGCTCTATCCTATCGTTTACTCCCTACCCCACCCACCTCCCTATTTTCTGCATATAAACTGACGTTTTCCCAGCCACCATCAGTTCTGAGGAAGGGTCTCCGGGCCCAAAATGTTAACTCTGTTTTCTCCTTGACGGATGCTGCCAGACCTGCTGAGCTTTTCCAGCAACTTTGTTTTTGTTCCAGAACACAACAGAAGAACAGTTCTGAAGAAAAGTTATTGGGCCTGAAACATTAATTCTGCTCTTTCTCCACAGATGCTGCCAGACCTGCTGAGTTTTTCCAGCAATTTCTTATTTTTTTTTTCTAATCCCAGTCTAATGTTCTGAAGACTTGGGTTCTAATCCATGACAGATGGTGAAATTTGATTCAACAAGAATCTGGAATAAATCTACCATCCATACGTGGTCTGTTCGACATATGACTGCAGACCCACAGCAATGTGATTGATGCTTAATTAGGGATGGGTAGTGAATGCTGGCCAAGCCAGTGACACCCACATCCCATGAATTGCAGAGGAAACTAGAGAGAGACACCAACCAATCATTCTAATAACAGTGCCAATAACCTCCTCATAATTTGTGCAGCTTGTAAATAGGACACAAATTTGAAGATCTTTTTGTCCAATTAACTTGCATCACAATAAAGAGTTACATAATCTCACCTGGACTGTTAGTGATAAACTTGTAGGTTGTGTGGGCCAGTGGAATAATAGTGAACATACAATTATCACCATTAGTCTCAATGAAGTCATGCCTTGTTATTGCAGTTGGATCAATATGATGCTCTCGAAAAGGTCTTATAAATGCCTGTGTACAAGCAAAAGAAAACAAAAAAAAAATCAGAATGCTTGACCTTTTCTCCAGTCCTACAAATGTTTTAACCAAATAGTGACAGATATATCTGAAGTATGTCTAAATCACATGTTTTAATGAGAGCTGCTTGCAAGGAAAGGGAAGCTGTTTTACTACTGGATGAAATTTTGGTAAATACGGTGCAAACTAAGTTATTATGAAATATTACAATTATGTATTAGGACCTCTGGTCAAATGTTCTAGGAGACCCCATACTCAAAGCCCCAGTCGTTCAACATATTTCCAAATTACATACTGCACCATATTTTTTGAACACAAGCAATGTGGGATGACTCGGTTATCTTGTTTGCTCAAAATTTTCTGCATCACTCTAATTGAAAATACTTGGGCAAAATCCAGATGCTAGGGATTTCCACATTCAGAGCTTGCTTGCGGGAAACGGTCACTAATGTCCTGCAGCATGCAAATGCCTGCAGCAGTTTAAAGGACAAGTATGTACAAATATAAACATGTAATAAAGCAACAAAAGACTTGAAATATAATGTCTGGCAGGTCTATGCAGGAGCAGGTTTGTCACTGCACATGTGGAAGTGTTAGTGATTTAAGTTAAGCTGAGGAAGGAAGTTCTGAGCAGATCACCAATAGAAACAGCACAGGGACAATGGAAGGAGACGGACAAGCCTTGAGAACAATTTTCCAGAGGAATGGACACTATCATTGCACCACAAGACGCCAGCCATTCAAGAAAAAGCTTGCTCCTTTTATTACAATTAGTCTAATTGCTCTCAAGACCAACTTTGATTGCCAAATGTACCAAAGTTCACGGATTTAGGTAGCTAAATTTTTAATCAGTAAGGGAATTAAGGGTTATAGCAAAAAGACAGGAAAGTGGAGTTGAGGATTATGGATTTGTGGGCAGCACAGTGGCCCAGTGGTTAGCACTACTGTCTCACAGCGCCAAGGACCCGGGTTCGATTCCACACTCAGGTGACTGTCTGTGGAATTTGCACATTCTCCCCACATCTGCATGGGTTTCCTCCGTGTGCTCTGGTTCCTCCCACAGTCCAAAGATGTGCAGGTTAGGTGGATTGGCCATGCTAAGTTTCCCCAGATTAGGTGGGTTATGCGGGGATGAGTCTGGGTGGGATGCTCTGAGGTTCAGTGTGGACTTGTTGGGCCGAAGGGCCTGTTTCCACACTGTAGGGATTCTATGATGGATCAAACATAATTTCATTGAATAATAGAGTAGACCGAATAGGCTAAAATGGTCTATTTCTGTTCCTTCATATTATGATCTTATTTAACTAGATTCCAACTACTGCTTTTTTGTTAGGGTTTGATTCCATATACAGCAAATAAATTAATGCTTAATAAGCAATCAATTTGGAGAGGAAAGGGGATGTTAACCTTTGTCTGAAGTAAAATTAACTAGAGAAAGTACTTATGCAGTTATATGATTTGATGAATTCTATCACTGAACCTCTTCAATTCTTTGCTGAACCAGAAGCGTTGCACCCAGGTAAGGAATGATGAATCTGCTTCTCTGTTTTAAAATTCCTAGTTTTCTGGAGAGATTTTACGCTCCTTCTAGCATGAGGTTGTACTTCTCGCTGGTAAAAATATTGCTACCCAATGTGTATTTTACCAGCAAATAGCCTACTGCAAAGTTTTCTTGAGTGAAAGAAAGAATGATTGTTTTATTCGCTCAAACTAAGGAAAACAATAAAGATGCAATGTTAATACACACGCGCACACACACACACAGGCGCGCACACACACACAGGCACGCACACACACACAGGCACACGCACACAGGCACACACACACACAGGCACACACAGACACCTTGTATCCTCAGCAGCAGCAAATACTTCTATTGACTTTTGAGTTTTTGGCAATCTGATGTTTCTTTATAACCAGCTCTGTCACTGGGCAATTTCCTCAAGCAGTTGAAAGGAAGAGTTTTCTCCAGTTCATTCCAGCAACAAATCCATCTCCCCTCTTCTGTGAAAAGCAGCTCTCTGAAATACTTTCAGTTGTGTATTCCAACATCTGTGTTCCTTGTTTCTGAGCTCTAAAACTTCAAGGCATAACTGGGCAGCACAGCAGTTAGCACTGCTGCCTCACAGCACCAGAGTGCCTGTTTGCAGATGACTGTAAAATGAATGGTGGAGCAAAGTGTACAGAGGACACTGAAAGTCTGCAGAGGGGGATATAGATAGGTTAGGTGAGTGGCAAAGGTCTGGCAGATGGAGTACAATGTTGGTAAATATGAGTTCAACCATTTTGGTAGAATAACAGCAAAATGAACTATTGTTTGAATGGTGAAAAACTGCAGCATGCAACCTGGGTGTCCTGCTACATGAATCACAAAAAGTTGGTTTGCAGATGCAACAGGTAATTGAGGTGGTTAATGGAATATTGTCTGTCATTGCTAGATGGATGAAATTTAAAAATAGGGAGGTTATGCTGCAGCTGTATAGGGTGCTGGTGAGGCTACACCTGGAGTAGTGTACAGTTTTGGTCTCCATTACTTGAGAGATGATGTACTGGCACTGGAGGGTGTACAGAGAATGTTCACTAGGTTGATTTTGGAGTTGAGAGGGTTGGCTTATGAGGAGAGATTGACGAGACTGGCATTCAATGGAATTTAGAAGAACGAAGGGGTGTCTTCTAGAAACATATAAGTTTATGAAGGGAGTAGATGAGATAGAAGCAGGGGAGGTTGTTTCCACCAGCAGGTGAAACTAGAACTAGAGGGCATAGCCTCAAAATAAGGGGGATTAGATTCAGGATTGAGTTGAGGAGGAACTTCTTCACCCAAAGAGTTGCGAATCTGTGGAATTCCCTGCCCAGTGAAGCAGTTGAGACTACCTCATTGAATGTTTTTAAGGCAAAGATAGATAGATTTTGGAACCGCAAAGGAATTAACGGTTAATGATGAGTAGGTGGGTAAGTGGAGCTGAGTCCACGAAAAGATCAACCAGGATCTTATTGAACGGTGGAGCAGGCTCGATGGCCAGATAGCCTACTCCTGCTCCTATTTCTTATGTTCTTATGTTTTCTTTTTGAAAAGTGTTTAACCCTTGAAAGTCCCAAGTGTTAAAATTAGGTGATGGAAGGTGAAATTAGCCTATTTTTTAATCACTGTCATGACAGATGTAATTCCAAATCATTCTTTCGAATATAGTGGGGCAGGGAGAGGGAGACGGATGAAGTGGATTCCAAACGTTTACAAAACAGAAAAGGCTGGATCTGCTTACACCCAAAATGCATTCTTTAAAAACAGCAATAAAAAGCTAGCAAACACGTAAAACTGGAAATAACTGAAATGAAAGAAGATATTTATGTTAAATGCAAAAATGTGGGAAGCAAAGTATCCTTTTAATATCAGCCTTTCTATTGCACACACACAAAATGAGAAAAAAAAAAGTTGAGCCTGCGCGGTCAGTAATGAAAGGTGGATTATTGGTGTCAGCAAACTCTTTGAACACAACATACAAATGTTTGGCACATATAACTCTGAAACCAAGTAAACTGTCTGTGAGCCAAATTAGCATTCGTGCATAATCAGCAACTTTTAAGTTAAAATGTAATTGGAGTGACTTACTTGATACAGGTGTGTGGTATACACATCAGTGTAAATTGATGAAAATAATTCAAAGCCCGTGCTCAAAACATATGGTTTGCTGTCTCTATATTTATTGTCTGTCATTTGCTCATGGAATAAGTCAGAAAGAGCCATTGTATAATGAACGCATGTGAAGAAAGCTGCATTAGTGGGGAATCAAATATTGAATGCAAAGTAGTACATCTTTAGTCAAAGCATGAAACAAATAGTGCACATTGTCAAATTCGGACAGGGACTTGTATCAGATTCTTCACTTCAACTGACACAAAGCCTGGACAGTGGATATTCAATTGGCAGAGGAAAGATTCAGCAGAAACAAGGGATCGGGAACATCAATGAGGATAACAAATGATGAAGAGAGAAGAGGGAGCAAACAAATTGGTGAAGTACAGAGGTCATATGGTACTCTTGTACAAAAAAAAGTTTTAGTCACCTTCTCCCTCACCTTCCTGCTTTGAAATAGAGCATATCCCTTTTGCAGCAACTCTCTTTTAATGAATGTATTTACTTTTTAAATGTCACTATGACAAAGAGGTGGCGTTCTCCAAGGAAGATTTCAGCTTGCCCCATAAGAAAATACACAATATAAAAAATGATCTGAGTGCTCAAGGGGAAAACTAAAAGAGGAAGAGTGTTGAACACCACAGAACAAAAATCAAGTAGAGTAATAAAACAAACCGAAAACTACAATGTCAAAAGTATTGAGGTATAAAAAGGCCACAATAGAACAGCAAGTCAGTTCTAATTTGGTCTCTTTTAACAATTCAGAAAAATTACAATAGGAAAACAGTCCACAAGCCAATTTCTGCTTTTAGCTCGATAGAGACCACATTCAGTTGTGTGAGGAGTCACAAGACAAATGGCTCAGAATTTATGCACAGATTAATGCCCAATAAACAAGGTCAAATACTGAAAGTTGGCATTTCAAATTCCAAGCAATAACTGCAGCATTTAGGTAATTGAAAATGTTACAAGAAGCCAGAAAAGATCTTTCATCAGCCCTGTTCAATATATACATTTTTCTCTGGCAGTGAGTCGATGCAAACCACTGCATCTCTAAAGTGGCATAAAGTACAGAGGAAAATAAAATTTCTTAATGTCACAATGCTTAATAGTTTTTTCTTATTTTTTGCTGGAACATAGGTACCTCTGACAAAATCATACTTTGTGCCCATCCCTAATTGCCCTGAACTGAATGGCTTCCTAGACCACTTCAGGGGTCAGTTGAGTCAATTACATTGCTGTACTCTGGAATCATATGTAAGCCAAACCAGGTAAGATTTCCCTCCTCAAAGGAATTTCCCTCCTCAGAGGGCATAAATAACCCAAAAATAAAGACATTAATTCAACATTGTTACTTAAC